GTTATGAGCGAGAGGGAATTGCTTTTTAAAACATCTCTGTCAACCAAGTTTGTCTTACTATTTGTTTATAAAAAAGAAGATGGGCTATAATTGCCAATGAGACAACACTCCGCCAGAGACCAAATGACACTGAAATTTACAAAAGAAAAAACAAGTTTAATATATTAATGCAAGTAGATACATTGATAATATGAATACAAGTTAAACCCATTTAACACACAATATCATACGGAGGTCAATATATACCGTCATCGCATGGCGGTGGTGCTTTCATAGCAGGAGATGTTTTCCCTGTCTATGCAATCGGTCTCGCTACTTTTGGTGTATTTGTGATTCCCTCAATTTTTGTTCTTACCTTAATTTGTCTCTTCCTAATCGATTTACGAGCTTCAAACATCGGTAAACTACAGTAAGTGTCGCATTAATTCCATATTTTCAGCTTTTCCAAACAACATCCGTCCTGAATACTGTAAACCAACTAATTTTCGCGAGCGATTTATTTTCGCGACTTTCGCGAGTAGAAAAATAACGCGAATATAAATAGTCGCGAATATGCAAAACTTGGATCTTTCCTTATGTAACTAAATCAAGTATTTTGAAAATCGGAAAATTAAGTCGTAGCGAAATGGACTAGAAAAGGCTAAAAGCGAAATAAAGTATCCGCGAAAATAAGTTGGTTTACAGTATACCAAAGTTGTGAATTAATCAAGCAGAGACTATGAAAGATATGTCGTCATCGTCGAATTCTCTGAATGACATATCCTGAGATAATACCAGTACAAATAAATGTATTAAAGTAAAAGAATTAAAACAACAGGCAAAACAATAATGAACAATACAGAGTAACCGTATCACAGAATGATCTCCATTCACAATCTGGTATGTATTTACTCTATTCTAGTGGGGTACGTTTAATAAGCATACATGTACTAGTACTATCCTTTTGTCAGAAACTGTTTTGAAGGTGTCATGGACAATGGTCTAGAGTCAACAGACTGTTCTATAAAAGTTCTTCTGGCAGAGTTTAGAACTGATCCTAACTATATTTATGTCTATATGATAATGATTTGCCGGAGTTGTTCCAGAACTGCTACTGAAGTTGTGTATATAATTATTATTCTTCGTTTAATCATACAATGTAGGAGTTAAAAGTGTTCGAAGGGATGACATCAACTTCTCCACTTGGAACTTTTGGTTTAATAGCTTCCTTTTGATTAAGCTGGCCGCCTCGGTGGTCTCGTGGTAGCGTCGGCCGGGTCAAACCAAAGACTTTAAAATTTGTATTTTCTGCTTCTCCGCCGCTAAGCACGCGGCATTTAGGGATAAGAGCAAAGACTGGTAGCCTCGGAGTCGGAATAATGTGTCCGGGTAAGGTGACATGTCTTCCTGCGGACTCAGTTTACCTTGTGAACTAGCACGTTAAAAATCCGGCTCAGCGTGTCGGTCTAGTACAAAGCAGGGTTAATATTCATATTACATTAACATGTTCTCGTCCTGAATATGCATATTAATTTGCCGCTGGACGTTAAGTAGTCATTCATCATCATTCATCACCATCGATTAAGCTGTGATATATGCATGTGACCATGTCCGATATACATTATAGAATCCCAAGATTTATTTCATTTTGATTGGTTGGCTGATTTTTGGTGTTAACGTAACGCCACTGTCAGTACTATTGTATATTTCGTGGCGGCCATTTTTTTTTTTTTTTTTTTTTTTTTGTGTGTGTGTGTGGAGAAAGCCGGAGTTTCTGGAGAGAACGACCGACCGTCGGCTGGAAAACTAGCTATATTAGTCAATAAAGATTGGAATCGAACACACGTACCACTTAAACTTTAAACCTAAAATTTGACATAAGTTAAAGGTCCGATTCGGATCAATTATAGTAAATGTTTATAAACAGATACACGTGAAAGTACACGTGGATAAGGTAACATGTATTAGATAACAGAAATAAAAACATAATAATTATGTTTTGGTCGGGAATTATAAGGATTTAACACATTTTTCTAGAGGTTACTCATACTATTATTATACTTTGTTCAGTTTGTGAGTTAATCGGGCTTGTTTACACGTCAATAATCCCTAGAAAACATACTTTTATTTTTAATTCTATAAATCTTTTTTTTGCTAATTAATAAATATTTCTTTTATACTGTGTTTGATGCTGACTTTTGTTAGATACTAACAGAAATTTTCTGACAGTCTTTTGTTCTCTGTATAGATTGTATAGTTGCCATCTGTATAGGACCAACATAAAATGGTTGATGCTATAAAACTTGCGCTATCATGCATGTGCGAGTGTTACTGTGGTTCAGTAGTTGCCGTTGGTGTATGTCTGTTATATTTTGTTTGCCGTAAAAAAAAATTGTTATAGACTATAGCTAGTGATAACATTTTGTGAGGGAATTCGATGTTTGCTATACCACGGTTCATTTCAACGCACTTTATGACAATAGCAGTCACTATAATACCAATCAGAATTATTTTTTTGCAGTGTTTTATGGAATGATTTTACTTTGTATCCATGTATTATTTGTGAAACATTAAATGTTTTAAAAGGGCGAATTTTTGGTATAAAGTCAATAATTATGCAGACTTTTGAAGCCCAAACTTTCTATTGCTTTAAAAACGAAAATGAAAGATCCGAAAACTATACAAATACAGAACGACATGTTTATGAAATTATAGCAAAACTTTTGGTTGACAAATTTTTTATTCGTAATTGCAAAAACTGAACTTAAAATATCTGTCATTTCCTCCCTACCCAGTTTACCCCTATTACTTATTATCATGCTGTGGACCGGTCATTGTTATTGAATCTTACGCAATTTGATTGGATTAAGTTATTTTTAGTTTATCTCCAACTGATTACTTTTTTTTCATACACGTATATTGATTAAATAAGAACATGCATGAATGTGTACAGTAACTTAAATGACCTTCAGACTGGACTCTGGTCGACTCCATATTATTTTTTATCAATGAAACTAAAGGTATGAAAGGTAAAAATTGCCACTTCTTATATTTTTACCAAATTTTCCACATATAGAGTAGATAAATTATTTTTAATAGCATATTCCGGAGAAAAAAAGAGAAAATTTACAAATCAGACGTTTTATTCCATTAAACAAGTCATTTTTCGAAGAGAAATACCGAAATACATTTTACGCACGGCTACGCCAGGTAAAATTATTGTTTACCTTAACAAAAGAAAAACATTTTTCATTCTCATTATAATGTTAAAATTACAATTTATCCTAAATAAAGTAGTCAGTAAATAAAGTCAAAATATGTCCGATCTGCCTATTTTTGGACATCAAAATTCGATACAATCGTTTTAAGGTCAACTTCGTCTACCTCACAAAATCTTGTTAAGCACTATAGGTCGTTATTTTTCTCGTTTGAATTGTTTCACATTTTAATGTCGGGGCCTGCTGAGTATTCCGCAGGGGTTATTTTCATTGTTGAAGGCCGTACGGTGGCCTATACATGCTTATATTCACTTCATTTAAACTCTGGTGAATAGTCGCCTCATTGACAATCATACCACATCTCCTTGAATTTATATTTATAAGTTGAAAATGCTTTATAATAATAATAATAATACATCAGTTCTTTTATTTAAAAGATATGGTACATACATGTAATAAAATGTAGTCCTATTATTGGCATATCAGGCAAGAAGGTGATACATGTATACAGATTTGTAAGTCTTTGGTTCATCGATTGATGAGACTGAAGCAACATATCTATCGTCTTTTGTTATTGAAAAAATTAAAATTTTCCAATCTGTGTCTCTCAAAATCGTATTCAATTAAATATTTTTATTGAATCCCCCCCCCCCCTTTTCCCCTGTGATTCCTATACATTATTTTTTTAATTGTTTAGTACGGTCTAACATACATAGAATTTAAAAGAAACACTATGGAAATTTGAATAAAAGTTTACAATGATATTGATGTCACTGTGGTTTTTGTTCATTGTATTGTGACAGTGTTGCAAATCTGTCAAAAGGAATAATGTCATGCTCACGCCGGTTATCCCATTCCAAAATCCGCGGAGTGATCCGAATTCCGAGGAGCAATTACACGAGACAGCAATACGGTGAGTAAGTAAATCAGGATCCTCCTTGGGAATCAGATCCAGATTTTACTTACGAATTGCACTAAACAAAGCGTAATTGCTCATCGGGATTCGGATCCTTCACCGGATTTCGTATCGGCATACCCGGTGTGATGCTTTTCAGTTTTTTTAAGTTTTTAAAAATCATGTTTCAAATTTTGACAATACATGCTGTAGCGAAATATATTTTGTAATTGAATCTGCTTCAGATATGAAGTATAATTTTATCAAAACATATTGGAACATCTAAACCCTTTTTCTTAGTTATAATGTCCTAATCATATATTAAGAAGTAATAGGACAGTTGTTTTCCATTCGTTTGATGTGAATGAGATTTTGATTTTGTCCATTTATAAAGGACTTTCCGTTTTAAATTTCCCTTGGAGTTCGGTATTTTTATTGTTTTACTCATTTTTTATATTAAGAAGTAATTAAGTCATTATTGAAAATTGTCAAATATTTTTTTGCTTGTATGACGATCTAGGAATATTACATTGTTTGCACTATTCACCCGGACTATTATATTTCACCTTATATTGCATCAATAACTTTTCATTGCAGAATTTAAATCGTATTAATGGTTACGTTAAAAATTAAAAGTCAAAGAGAAAATTTCGACATAACAATAAATAGGTACTTAATTTCTTTCCACCTCCCTACAATAGAAATCGACCAACCAATGCAGTACAATTAACACTAATTACATAATTATATACAAACATATGCCTATTTAAATGTACATAAAGGTATTTTTACTTAATTGTTTCGCTATAGATTTCGCCTTTGTGTTTTGTCTAGTTTGTTTATCTTTTCGATTGGATCCGCATGGGTATGCTTTTGTTTTCCGCCATTTTTCAAAACAATGTAAAAGTTAAATGGCAACGGAAAAGATTCGTCCTTAAATCGTGTTGAATGGGTTATAACCCATCACACCTTCGTAAAAAGAATCCAGGAGGTACTTTTTATGAAATGTAAATAACAGTTTCTATTGAAGCTTTAATCGAATTAGTTCGCATTATTTCATCAAAGAAAATGTTAACTTAAAGTCATATAAGGTAAGTAAATTTTTCTTCTTATTTCCTTAATTTTCAGAATTTTAAAATAAATACCTTTGTTTAATCGTAGTCTTGTTTTCCTGTCTTCCTGCAGAAGATCTAAGCACCCTATCGGTATCTGCTGACTTCTTCGTTCCTAAGGATTCTATAGTGGGTGTATTTCTTTATCATTAATATTTTTCTCTCAACAGAACTGGTTAAAAAAATTAAATGAAATGCGTTCAATTAGATTTCCGACACTTTTTTAAGAGAATTTAAAGTGTAAAGTTTTGAGAGCATCAGATCCACCTTGATACTGAATTGAATTGATCTTAATGTGTAACAAACCAAAAACTGTAATTGCTAATCACAAAAAAAGTTCTAAATCTCGTTAAGCATGCCTGAGGAGCAGACCATCATATCCTGCCTAAAATTGAATATGCAGGTTTTGAGATAAGTGATATACGTGGTTTATAATTTCTCGATTTGTTAACGTTTTCTAAGTACAAAAACTTTCATTCGTAATGATACCCCTGCTAGAAAGTACATTGTAGGGATACCCTGGTGTACATCTGCCCGTCCGTCTGGCCGTAACAAATACCTGTCGCCTCTTTCAAAAACGAAATTTCTGCACTAGTCCCTTGCGCTTTTGACTGATAACCGAACGTATTTCGTATAAATACGCGGATATTAATTATCGAGTGCAAAATAACATTCCATATCGCTTGTGATAAATTCATTTCTTCAATGAATACTCATGAAAATATTTTTTAAGAACATAGATAAATGTTATGAAAATGTTTTGCCGTGAGAAATATATATATATCAGTAACAAATCATGAATACCGAACATTTGTGTGAACGCATGCGGAAGAATATCTCGAGAGATGATCTGCAATACATATAACTGTTATACAAATATTAATATAATACATAATGTTCAACAAACCAGATTATACTGATAACAAATGATTATATCACTACAATATAATAATTATTACGGTGAAGTTGAATTCCCTGTCATTTTTTCATCATCCACCCAGGAACTTGTCTCAGAAAAAAAATATATATATGTACCTTAACCTAACTTTCAGGTATAGAGATATGATTTTTTTCTGAGACTATCCACCAGAACTTGCGGTCATCCGATTTTCAGTTCTTTAGTACTTTGATCTTATATTATTTCATGTACTTCTCTCAATGTTTTTTTTTCATTTGTTTTATCCAAATCAGATTAAAATGTATTATGTTGAATCGTTAAAAAATATCCTAATGATTGTTTACAAGAAGACATAGTAATCAATATAAATGAATTTTAAAAACTTTTAAAATGTTTGCTCTTTCAACCTGGTTTTAATTTGTAGCTATAATAAACAAGATGCATGTAGTTGTGTGAATTGTTGTTTTAACAAATCTGTTATATATTCTGACAGATTATGATTTGTTTCGTTCAGACAGTTTAAAATTGTTATTCTTTGATCATTGAATATTATATAAATAACACATAGCTGAGAGGGTGATAGAGCAGATTGTTACCATAATGTATTGTTTGTCATACGACGCCTTATCTGTTCGAACAGTTATCCTTGGACTGTTGATACATGGATAAACACTCAACTCCGAATGAAAGCACTATTCTGTATGTGTCTGTCCCTAGTCAAGTAGCCTGTTATTTAATGGTTTTCGTTTAATGCTGTATATCATATATGTTTCTTCGTTTATTGTTTTGTACGTAAATCAGACCGCTAGTTTTCTCATCTGAATTGTCATACATTTGTCATTTTATAGCTTGCTATGCGGTATGGATTTTGCTTATTATTGAAGGCGACCTATAGTTGCTAACTTCGACGTAAGTTGGTCTCTGGTGGAGAGATGTCTCCCTGGCAATCATACCACATCTTCTTTTTTTTTTGAACCATTACATTTTGAATCGACAACCTACTTTTTTATAAACATTTCAACTGAAAACGATAAGTCATAGCAAATGTGTTCCATACATATCTATTGAAAGTTTACTACCTTTTTTGCATAAATATCTTGTCGAACTAAAGTATTAGGATCTTCTATTTTGATACACAAATTTCGTGAATGTCTAACTAACAACAGTGTGTCTGCGACTAGACTGGCGCGCTCACAAACATGTTTAACCCCGCCACATTCTTTATGTGCCTGTCCCAAGTCAGGAGCCTGTAGTTCAGTGGTTGTCGTTGGTTCACGCCTGTCATATATTTGTTTTTCGTAAATTGTTTTGTTATAAGTTAGGCCGTTAGGTTTCTCAGTTCAATTGTTTCATATTTTTCATGTCGGGGCCTTTTATAGCCGACTATACGGTATGGGTTTTTCTCATTGTTGAAGGCCGTACGGTTGTCTAGAATTGCTTACATCTGTCAGCGTTTGTACGATCAAAAATTCTCTCCTATTGCAATATGGCTTTTTTACCCTTATACAAGTATTCTTGTTTTAACTGAAAGTATTTGTCAAAGTTTGATTCATACAATATTAAGTTTATAATGTGTGGTCGGCGTATTTTTTAACCGATATAGGTAATTATAAGGGAACAACTCGTGCTCCTCTTCTTACCGACTTTTAATTTGATCGTAAACAGGGGTTTTTCAAGAAGAATTAAAGCAAGCTAGCATTATCCTGTAACAGTTATCTCAATCACTGAATACTTCTTTTTGGTTTATGGTGACTGTGTTGATATCGTTATCCAGTGGCGGATTCAGGCCCTGTACGCCCCCTTTTTTGATCGTCCAAAAAATAAAAAAGGCTCATGTTTTTCGCGATATATATACATTTATGCATAAAATCGCCCAAATTTTCGCCCGTATATCTTCCATTATCGGAAATTACGTCCCCCTTTCAAAAATCCTGTATCCACCCTGATATTCTTTGAATTTGAAATAAAGAATAACACTTCAACCGTAAGTCTGCTTTATACCTCAAATTTCACGTAGTATATAATTAATAATGATAGTCCTTTGAGAAAAATGATACACTAAAAGAAAAGGTAACTTCCATATTCTCATTGTGAACATTATACCTTTTTTTTATATAGCAAAGTTTCAGCAGTCTGTGGTTATTGGTGTCTAGCGTAACTTGGCTATTTCGTGGCGACTATAATATTATATTGGTAGAGCAACCTGGAGTTGCCGGGGAGAGCCATTGACATGCTTTGATCTATGTAGATGAACTTCTTAATCCACTTGATCACCGAGGGTGGTTGTATACAAGAAAGCTACTAACAGAGGGTTCTAAATCCAGTTTGAAAAAACTAGTACACAATTTTACGGTCCCCATCAGGACTAAGTCCTGGTCACAGTTACAATTCAATCTCCTTTACATATCAAATAAATGACACAAATCCAAGCTTGTTCGTTTGTGCGAGCACAGTTTACCAGTTTACGTATAGCTAAATAATTTGTCAATCATTTAAAAGATGTTTTAATAAATAGAACTACCTTATTGTTTTGTATTGTGTTCATGCGTGAAACACTAGGTTTTTACTAGGTAACATTTGACTGTTAGGTTCCGGTCAAAATGATAAGAGTCAGGTGAGAGTTATTCACGATAGGCGAATCTCATTTCAAGTGAAATCACAAAGATGTGATCTAGGCCATATAGGCTTTAATAGAGAACTCAACAGAGACGTAAATGTCAAATTGAAGGCTCGACTAATATCTTACCGAAACGTCATTCATCCCACAATGCAAAACTCTTTCTATTTCTAATTTCAATACTGCATGACATGTATTTTCGTACTATAAATTTTCATAATATGGTTTGTCAATTTAGATCATATGTTTTCTCGGGTATAAGGTATCAAATTATCTTACAATATCTGTCTTTTGAATCTGTCAATACGTAGGTTGATTAAAATTTCAAATTCGATATTCATTTCGCACGTTTGATTCAGTTAATATATATTCGAAAGTCAATAAAACTCAGAAAATTACCTCATTAAAACAATAATTGTATAATATCGGATGATTTAAATCACTACAAAGACACATAGTTTGTAATAAATCATTTTTGTCGTTTAATTTATAATTATAAATTATGATGCCATGGTCCACTAATTAAAACTGCATGAACACAGTTTTATGATGCAAATATTATACTAAACGCTCAGTTAAATTCGAAAATAGCAACTAGTTACTTTTATCTACTTGTAATTATTCTTTCCATGTGAAATAAATTAAATGAATAAATTGATGATTATATAGGAAAAAAATGAAGACGTTTCCAATTGATCTGTAACACTTTCATTTATATTTCTTTAAAAAGTAAGCACTAAATCTTAGTACAAACTAAATTAAAAATCATGAGAAAACAGCCAATCTTCCATTCAAATGTACCGATTAATACCCTTTACACGCTTAAGAATCATGAGAATAATAAATAATTTTAAATTCATTTTTGTTGGTTTATCCAAATTCTGTAATATTGTCATATCTATATTAACAAGAGACAGTATTCATAAAAAAAGATTAACCGTAGGAAATGAACATATATCAAAAGAGCATTTATTTTTCTGGTATCTTGTGGTATAGAAATATGTTCACTTCTCCCGCTCGTTTATTAAGCCCGTGTTGAGGGACGTCTGCTTGGCTTTGATGGATTTATAAATAAGAAGAAAATACCATCGATTAGAGTGATCACCAAAACTTCTTCTATCTAGTTGTCATGAACATGCATGAAATATTTGAAACTGGACGTTTAGCAACCAACAATCAATCATAAATTCCATCCGGCAGAAAAAATCCGCGGTTAAGAGCCTTTCATTGGTTGTGTTAAGTGTATAAGCATGAAACAGCCTGGTCAAATGTCTTCTATGCAGTAAAGTATTTTGATTGTTTTTTTACCTGATTGCGAAATAAATATTAATATTTCATGATACCAGCTTCCATCAATTCATGCTATGCAATTATGTGTTTGTATTTTTTGTGACTATTTAAAGTCCTTTGTTGTCGCCAAATGTTTATTATGGGATTTCTTTTTGTTCATTTATTCTAATAAAT